ATAATAATATACATTATCCGAAAATTGTAGATTTGTCATGATATAAAAACCTAATCTATATGATCTTACGTGAAAGTCACATCATTGTCTATTCTGATTCGTAACAATCAGCAGTATAATGTTTGGAGTTTCTAAAGAACATACTTAGACCGTAGATAGAACAACATATGTAATATGCATAAAAGATATAAGTTACACAAGAATGATCACGCCTGCAAGACTCAGCCATGCCATCAGATTGAATAATAAGAAGTTCCCGCCTTCTTCCTTGTTAGACGTCTCTCCGTGTTAAATGTTTAATATCTATTTTATCAGTTGTTTTACGTTCGGCCTTAAGGATTGTGTGGTTATGACCAATATTACTACAACATTTAACTGAGTTTAGGTGCTTCTAATTACTTCTGAAATGTGCATAGTCGAGTAAAGCAAACTGTATACAGTGCATCGCTGTGCAAATCAGAAGGATCAACAGGTGAGTTATTTTGTATTTATACTAATCATTTACAAGCAAATACGTTTAAGAAACTGAAGGAGGTAATTGATAGCTAAACTGCGGAACTGTGGAATTGATATATTATAGCCAAGTCAAGTGATGAAGAGCCAACAGAACAGTTAAATGAAAGGTTTAACCTATTAAACCACAAACCGATACTTAGAACTCCGAGTGGCTTTAAAAGATGATGTTACTCATTAACATGAAAATATAAGGAAGTGCGCCTGAAATTTTTTATTGTATTGTAACCCATTCCTGCTGATTCCTTAGGCTTTTATTCGGGAGCCAAGTTAACACTTGTTTTGTCTTTCAGGTAAAAGGTATTGAGAAGACTTTGGGTCCCATCAGATACTAGCTGTAATATACTTTAAGTATGTATGTGTATGAAGACCCACCAAACATACAGTTCCTGTATTCGTAATTCTTCGTTCGCATCTTGTCTTTAGTGTTATTCCTTTTGCTTTCGGTATAACTCATGCTGTGGTGTGTACTAATTGTAAGACAGATGTGAGCAGTATATATCAGGAATTGAAAGTAGATTTCTTATGAACAGAAGAGGAAGGAAAACAGAAAGCACTCCAAATAACAATATAAATGAAAGTTCGAAGGAGTTTGTATGGGATAAGTCAGTAAACGTGAACAATTAGTGTATTTAATGGATTGCTTTCATCTTTTACCAACACAGTGTGTGATTTTGTTTAACACAGTGAATCAGTTTATCCACCAAGACTACTTTTGTCACTGTATTACATCTCTTTCGGGTTACCAACACTTATTCATCACATCATTATGGATTTGAAACTGGAGCATTTGATGTCGGACGAGTTTAATACAACAACCAATACCGCTTTTGTACGATCTTTTAAGTTATTACGCAAGAAATCTTGTTAGATGATATTAAGACAGAGACGTTTCACAATGGTGATGAGAATTTAAAGCAGTTAGTCACTTAGATAAATTTCAGCAATGCCCGATTGGAAAACCCCTATGATCATTTGAGTACTTTAACCCCTACATCTTTTGAGATTTAAAGTTGGATTCAAGCTAAACTAGTGGATATAGAGCACCAGCTTCATTCTCACAGACTGAGGCAGAGAAGCAAATTAACTTCTCAGCAATATCAAATCATTAAAAGAATTGCAAAATGATGCTGATATTATCACAGTTGAACCTGATAACGTATCAGATGTTGTTGTCATGAATAAGTCCGATTACAAAAGTAAAAAGGAATCTATTCTCAATGATTAAAGTAAATATATGTCCTACATTAACTTTGATGGATCACTTAATTTTTAAAAGAAAGTAAACTCGAACCTCATAAAATTGTTAAATATGAATACTTTTAACAAAGAGTTTAGTTTATTAAAACCTACGGGTTCTGTGTATTCTAATGATGTGTGTGTCAGAACGATAATTATTGACTGTTTGCTCAGTCAGCCTTGTAGATTGTCTGACAGGTGTTAGATGAGTTATTTATTCTCCTGTTCTTATTATTATCGATTGTTGGTTGCTGTGAATTTTGTGTCGGGTTTTGGTATGGAAATATATTTACGTTCAAGTCAGGCTAATCAAGTGTTCGTGATCTGTTGGAGTCCTACAGAATAAACTCTAGAAGGGAATCTAGTGTAGATATTCGTCTAAGGTAAATTAACGTCTCATTCGTGCAGACAAAGAAAACAGATCGTTATAACACTCAGTTTATATGAATCACTAAAAATTCATAAATCCAATACTCTTTTACGTCAATTCTATCAACGTGTCGATCATCTACACACAATCTTGCAAAATGGCTCATAAAAATACCAAACCCCATCCAAAATCAATTTTGTGAGTCTTTCTTTGACTCACTTTGATTAAATTGTGGTGGTAAATAAATCCCCAGATTAAATAGCTCTGTAAGTCTTGGACATTCGATGCTGACCACATTAGTTTAAATGGAATAATTTAGCTGAAGGCGCTCGGTCATGCATCCGCACCAGATCACGAGTGGGAACACCGTGCTCAATATCCCTTGCAATCGCTGGCAAGCCAAGATCGGTTGACCCTCGATATATTTGAAGATGCCACAGGTATTTAGAGTTTGACAACGCTTTAACCAGTAACAATTTCTACTATGAATCGTACCCTCCAAGTGAAATCAAAAGACAGAAGCGAAGAGGTTCGAAGATATATTTGATAGGCTATCGATATATCGTGGATCGACTCATCTAATCTGGCTAGCGATTGCAGGTGATGTTGAGCACGGTGTTCCCACTCGTAATCTGGTGCGGATGCATGACCAAGCGCTTTCAGCTAGGTGAGTCCATTAAAACCAATGTGGTCAGCATCGAATGTCCAGGACTTACAGAGCTACTTATTTTGGGGATTTATTTACTACTACATATTGATAGCCTATCAAATATATCTTCGAACCTCTTCGCTTCGGTCTTTTGATTCCACTTGATGAGTACGATTCATAGTAGAAATTGTTACTGGTTAAAGCGTTGTCAAACTCTAAATACCTATGGCATCTTCAAAGTACTTAATCGATAATAAGTTGAAACTAAGACAATATGCGCTTTATTTACGAATATACATTTTAGGAAGGCTGATAATACTTTATGTGACTATATTTCATTAAATAACATTCCGTTACCAATTTCTGTTAAAAACCCTTACAGATTTATTACTATTATGTACTGACAATGTGAAATTCATTTTTGAGGTCAAGCGCTTTCGACAAATCGATGGCGTAGCTATGGGTAGCCCTTCAGAACTGTTGTTGGCCGATGTGCTTATGGGATATGTAGAGAATTTAACTGAAGACTCAATTCTGAAGATGTATCTGTATAAGCGGTACGCGGATGACATAATCAAATGTGATAAACGTGTAGATGTTATCATAAGCCACTTCTTATAATCAGAATGAGACTATACTACTGTTTAGTATATTTGTACTTTGGTTGAAAAATGTAAAGCTCGGACATGCCATGAGTAATGAACTCGAACAATCTCTTATTGTTATGGATGCTGAGGAAAAATATACCAATAATTATCGTGTTAAGTCTATGGTGGCCTTGGACCTTAAATGGACATTTCCCATTGGTCGATGTTTATTTCACTTGTTAAATATTTTGTAAATGTTGTTTTCTATTTTATGGTACGATGTGGTTTGTTTGGTATATAAATAGAGTATGTCTGAAATACAATGATTCATAACTCAGAGGCTGTGACTTGTGTTCTTGACTCAACTGGCTAGGACAGACAGCGAAGCAGGGCCAATCAGGGCGCTAGGTCGTCCACTACGTGTTTACGTGTCTACTGTAATCGATCGATATAACGCTGCTTATCAAAACCTGCAGTCACCCGTTACAACACTTATATTATTTGGATTATGACAGTTTATACTAATTGTTAACATGGAAATATACGAACGTGGAACGGTTACGCGCTTAACTTACAGATTGAAACCTCTCTCCACCGGATTCGACTTAGGGAATCGATTATTATCGTTAACCGTTAAACATAAAAGATGCACATTGCTGCTCAAAGTTGAGTTAACAAACTTTTTATTGATGAGTTATTTTATTACCTCGATTTAAACGAAACAAATCTTATTTATTTATTTTAAATGATTAAAACGAAACAACAGATTGATTTACCAACACGGATCATATGCTTGATAGGGATTAATTTCATGCTTTATTTCGAACGGATAACTAACTAAATACATGATAGAAATAAGTTGATTTTTTAGGAAAATGTAATAATAAAATATTAAAACACCGTGGATGCATGAAGTAAAATGACAGAAAACAGATAAAGGATAGTGCTGAAGAAGGTAAAAAGAAAAGACAACTGTATCACAGTAGAAATGTATACACTATGTAGTCGAGAATTTCCCCCATTTGAGGCAGCATATCTAGTGTAAAAATTTAGTAAATATGAACACCGAACTTTAATAAGCTAAAGAGTATCTTGTTTCTGCTGAAAGGTAATCAGAGAAAAATGAAAAATTTTGATAACACAAACTAAAACATAATAAATATATATCTCTTGAGTATTATATTGGGAAGTATAGCTGAAAAGTCAATCAAACATACACGCTGAAAGCAAGTCAACATATACCCATAAAAAGTGATACAAGTACAAACTGAGACGAGCTCATTTAAAGAGTATTCGATACATCAATAAAAAATAGTAAATAACATATGATCCATGAACTCCACCAGGATATCAAGCGTACTATTGCACTATAAACAATTTAGGCACACATAAAAGATAAATTTTGATTACAAACTGATTTTAATATATGTAGGTGAAGGGTATAATAATAATTTTGTATAAACAATTTAAATAAGCGCATACTACGAAAACAATTATTCAGATGCTGAATATATTATATAAGAAGGCATGTGGAACAGATAATAAAAATCGCGTATATGAAGAGAGAGAGAGAGAAATGAATAAATTTATCCTAGTATCCATAGAAACAAAGAGATCATTGGGAGAATATATATATGTTATATCACACAGTGGGTAATGCCCATGAAATAACACTTTTATCTGCACTTGAGGTAATGAATGATAATTGATTAGGATGCCAACGTGCTTGTATAATTTTATCCGTATGCTCAGCTAATTGAACACAAGGCAATGGTTGAGATAAATCACCTAAATATTTTGATGGACAATAACACAATTTTTGAAAGAAACAAAAAAACAGATCACTTAGTTTAATAAATTGAATGAATTGATGATTTGAATATAGGCATTAAAAATACTGGAGCAATGTACATAGAACTGATATTAATACTGTGAATTTTATAAATACATAATAAAACCTTGTTATAAAAGGAAAAAAGATAGACTCATTCATTAAGTTATACAGTTTATTGCAGATTTTATGAAGAGCTTATGGTGAAACATTGGATGTACTATAAAATACTTATGGAGTGAAATAATTAACCATGATAAAAACATTTAAATGATTGGGGATTTATATAATACGTATGAGTTGCAAATAGAATTATTTGCTTTTTTGGCAATAAATTTATGCAAACAGTTTTGGACATTTTCAGCTGCATAGGTGTATCGGCTTGAAAACGAAGAAGGTGGTAGTGACTGTATTAGACAGCGAAAGAGCACAATATTACTCTCAACAAACTTATCTCATAATAGATTATTATTAGAATATAATAACTCTACACGGTAAATTTACATAATCTGAAAATCGACGGTCGATGAATTTCAAATTCTCATGTTTATATTATTATTATCAATGATAAACTATAATTGTTTTTCAATAAATAAACAACGTTAGATAACAAAAGTTAACCAGTATTTATAATAAACACACAAGGGAGAGAAAAAAAACAATAACACAATACATCGATCATACCATGAAAGTCGGTTAATATAACACGTTTGTCATAACTAGCTGATAGTAGGTAATAAGCAGTTGGTGAGAATCGTACACTACGCACTTCATTTGAATGTGGTCTGTATGCATTGATATAACGAGCACCACGTAAATCAAATAATGATATTGTTGAATCCTCATGTCCGCTAGCGAGTAAATTACAATTCGGCTCAACAGTAACTGAAGCAAATGCACTGCCTGAATAAAGAAAACAAATTCAAAAGAACGAAATAACTAGATAATACAATTTGTTATAATTACATTGAGTTGTACAATCAGTACAATGGAGAATGATTATAAAATGCATGTGGATATAACACTCAAATAGACAGACAGAATGACAAATATACAAAAATAAGCAGATAATCAGACAGAGAGAAAGAAACGGAGCTTTGTGGGCGACTTTTTATATAACAAGAAGTAACAATGAAATAATTCACATTTCATAGTCATGTTTTTTTTGTCTGTGGATACGTGGTGTCAAAATGAAGTGCAAGTCTTTCTTCTGAACGTTGCTTTAGCTGAGGATGCGCCCTTAGATGAAGCTGGGTTCGGAGTTATTCTGTATGCTCTTAGAAAATTCTGAATGACTTCCCCCGTCATTAAGTATGTGGAAAACGGTTGAACAAAGTCAATAACTGCTTAATGGAATATTTCCAATGACGTGATGCAATGTCTATTGCTAATTCATGCCTGTTGTTTGAGTGGGGGGGTGTCTAGTCATTTCAGCTACTCTCAAATACCGAGTATTAAAAAAACTCCACTCAGGTCAGCCTGGTATGCGGCGCATGAATTCACCGCCACACAACCACGTATACTGGCCACTGATGGATAGGGACATTATTATCTGATACTGATGTTACTTACCGTTAACACTTATTACCCTACCCATTGTTGAATCATTAGACATACGGTACCAAACCATTTGTTGAACAAAATGGTTTAAAAGATATCTCGGCTTTGCTGTCGATGACATTGTTAAATTGCTTACTGCAAATAGATTAACTGTGGTATCTACAAAGCATATTCCATATTTTCCTGCGAACATTTCGTAGACCACCACTATACACACATATGTACGAAGCGACTAAGTAGTGTAAACAATAGTGTAAGATTAGTTATGTATTTTTAACTGTGATTATTATTAAAAAGTACGACCAAACAAAATCAATCGATAGAAATATTTCAAATATGAAGGTAAACAAATGAAGTCCCATTTTACATCATATCTAATATATTTAACCATGGAATGATATACATAAATAATCGATTAGTTGCAGTATATGTTAATACTATTACTTATTATTTATGATAATGTAGGGTAAGAATTTCGGCCTAATAATAGGGTCAAACATCCATTAGAAAGAGGGTAACAATTAATTATCTCCATTTTTTCGTCGAATATTTAGTGTACAAGAATCAGTTTACAAAAAACAAAAGCTTGTTACACTGGTCAGTCGTATTGCCTTGGTATATCAATGGATTTGACAGTCCTATGTGTCAATAATGTAATCTCATGAGCAGTTGTTACTAGGATACCATATACTCTATTATTATGCATCAATCAATCGATCCTAAATCCAACACTACATTACAGTTTTTATAATGTGATTGCGAAATTTAGAAATTGTGAAATCAACAAAATTTGATGAGTTATTATTTACGTGTAGCATTTTTCATAATGTTTATGGTCTTTGGAGCTGTTCTCTCCCCTGAGTTGGATGATTCAACTGTTGAGCTTTCTTTAAACTTCTAGACAACATTATGAACATACAAATTAGCAAATTTGGTACGTAAATAGCAGTGGAAACTAAGATGCATAATAAGTTCTATTTATGATTCGTTAACTGGATCCCGGCACACGGGGACACAAGAAAACTTGAATCTTTTACCTTTCGCTCCAAACTTCAACTGAGTTCAAAGAGCCATCAAAATGATCAACAGATATGAAGTTAGTAATAAAGGTTTGTAATTCTCCGTCGTTCATATTAAGCAATGTAACAGAACAGTCTCTGATGACATATGTGTAGTGTGTGTAATGAGAGGATTTCTTCGATATTAGCCTTTAGTTACAAGCTGTACATATAGGTTGAAGGATTTCAGTCAATTCAGTCAGTTATAATGAATGTAGAATATGGTAAATATATAGATCGGTTTAAGTTAGATTGAAATTATAGATAAGCACAGTTAGAGGGTAAATTTACATTGGTTTTCAGGAGAACTAGACATCATCCAATTTCTTTACAACCTGGAAAGCAAACCTGAATTCTACAGCTACAAACGTGTACTAATAACTCTAGTGAACCATTTCTGACAATTGTGTCAGATCACTATTGAACCATTTATAAGAATTCAGTTTTCTAATATAGTAATAGACGGCAAAACTAACATGTGTACACAGACATAAAAATAGACAGAACTAACCTTGTGAACCTGAATAAGATGGAACAATTAACACAGGAGCTGGAGCTCGTAAATCCCATAAACGTGCAGTAGCATCTGCACTACCAGAAACGAACAATGAGCCAGGACTCCATACAGATAATGAATAAACTGCAGCTGTGTGCCCAGACATTGAACGTACAACATAATTAGGTGGAGTGGACTTCGGTGTAGATAGATCAAATGTTTGGGCTCGATTACAATCAACAAGATAAATACGAGAATCGCCTGCACCAGCACTTAGTAAATGACTACTTGGTGTACTTGTAATTGTATCCGAACATGGATAACTTCCTAACTAGATTTAATTTGTAAAACAAAATAAACAAACAAACAAATTTAAAATACGTTTACTGGAATAACGTAACTTGCTAAAAACTGTTATTTAAATTCACACATTTTGTAATCTAATGTAACTTATTCACCATACAAATGTTTGCGTAATTGACTTTGAGTCACACTACTTCGGGTATGAGGACTAGTGATACAGTTAGACTGAGCAAACCGAAAGTGATGGGGGGATTTGGGCTTGTAATTTATTGGTTAAAAGTTGTGTGATCCAGTCGTTATAGCAACGTTTTACGTTATTATTATTTACTGGCAACACGGTAGATTACAGGATTTAATTCGGTGTTTAAACAACTAACTTTTATCGATTGTAGTAATTTGATCAGATAGTGAGGTAGCGTAATTATTTGTGTTTGAAACATAATCAGAGACTAATCGATTCATTATGAAATCGTTTGTAACAGTAAAACGTTTTAGTATGAAATTCATGGATAAAAATAAATAGGCGGATTCCACTACTTAGACGATAAATTCAAACCGTTTTCTGAAGTTGAATCCATGAGTCAATTTAAGCAAGACCACAATTGAAAACCTGGAAGCGCTGGGCGGCCGTTTTGTCCAAATATGCAACCCTTCAGAAGCGCGCATCTATGGCCCCATATGCAGGACTCGAACCCAGGGCCTTTAGTTTCGCACGAGAATATACAATGTTCACTAATTAAAAGAGATCTGTATGGATAAGAAGTTGACGGTGATGAATGCATTATTTTTAAAGAATTGATACGGAAAAAAATATAGGCAGATTGCAGACAGTGATCGTGATATCTGAATATAGTCATACTTTTTAATATTTTTTTAAAGGAAATTGTTACCAAGTACTGTAGTGATTTCGAAATGTACTGTACTGTAGAAGAAATAGAATTCTTTCTATACTGTTTAGAATTTCGACAACAGAAATAAAAGATGATTATTGTACAAAGAGTTTACATTGTTTTACATGTTTGATAAAGTAATTCCATATAATTAATTTTGTAGTTAAATATTTATAATCGTCTTATTTGATATGCATCACATATATTCAGGGGAGATGTATAGAAGCACAATTACCAGTAGTATGTCAAATAGACACCTGTAATCAACTATAAGACATCTGAGTTCGCATGATCTCAGTTGATTTATTTAATTTATATACAGTTTATGTTTTCTTATTTTATTTTACAATACAAAGTTGTATTAAACAAATAGCCAGACAAAAATGAGTGCACATAATTTATTGTAATACCACTGTCTCGATTTTTTATAAGAAAACACATAACATAGTCGGATGACTACTGTAGGTCGTCTTGTGTTCGAACGACTTAAACTCACTACAAAATTATTATACCGTAAAATAGTTGGTTTAACAATTGAATACCAACAAAGAATTGTCAATTTTAGTCGCATCTTTATTGATTAATAAAAACACAGTTCGTTGTTTAAAATACCTGACTTCATGGTCAACCTATCATATGAAAACTGTTTAAAGAAAGTATTGTTACAGTTAGCGACACACTTATTTTTGATCTATTTTCTACTATATCAAGTAGCCTGAATCAATGACAACCAAAATAGTATCCTGAAAAACTTACTAGAAATGCAATATCTCGTACTGTACCATCATGATATCTTAGTTCAATGGCTTGTCCAGCGGTACTTGCAATCTCTGGATCACCACAAGCAGCATCTGGTATGCCAGTTGTTGGGTCCATCTGAAGTAGGCGAATTGTAGTGTCGTTACTTCCTGTTGCGATAATACGACCATCTGGACTCCAAGCAACACAATATATACTACCTTTGTGGTATTTTTGACGCCTCATTAGAACTACTGGAGAAGTAGCTACATGATTAGCACTACAAGAAAAAAACATTAAAAAATATTTACTGGATGACAAAAATTATCTTCACTTGAGACGATCATTGGAGTGTAATAGGTTCAACGAATAAATAAAACTAATCACATGTTTGTTAGTTACTTTTAGGTCATGAAAAAAAATTTATGGACTTGAACGTAAAGTCATAGGGAGGTAACCGAAACAGATAATAGGATGAAAAGCTACGAGAAGAAACGTCGCTCTACTTAAATAAACGGATGATAAATAACAGGGATGAAGATCACTACCGTGTAATATCCATTACACATAAGAAATACATATAACAGATAATACGACGAGAAATTAAAATTGAACAGATCATATAATAGATCATTTGTCAAATGTTCTTAGATATTCAAATGATCACGGTAGTATGTAAGTTTAATATTCATGTCATATAAGCTTACACAGTGAAGTGCTGTACATTAATATTTGCGATTATAACACGTATAACCTTAGAATGTTCACATAGAAGCAATGTTTTCGAATTGTGTGTTAATTTTTCTTGTCATGGATCAATCAGTGGTAATAGTTACCCAAATCACCTCGATTTCAAAGTGATCAAACAGGTCCAACGTACACACTCATTAAAAAATGGAAGTAAAGCTTGTTCACAAACTCACCTAAGGTGCTGTAAACTAGGATATTGGCATACACGTAAAAATTTACTATTCGAACCGACAGCATACAATCGTCCAGATGGATGAAATGCAATACAACGTATTGGTTGACTATCCTCTAAAATTGTTACAGGTATGTAACGTGGAGTTTGAGGACTGATATCAGAGGTGTCCGACACTTCACCATTAAGTTTACATGGTCTATCCATGTCAGTACGTTGTGCCTGTGGTTGTGAGGAAGAATTAACTATAGATGGTTTTTCATTTATATTAGGTTCCATAGTTTCAGACATCTGAGTAGGATTTTTTGTAGCTTGACTAATGATCTGTATAAAAAGAGAAAAATGAGTTAGTTGACAAACTAAACACACATAAGATGCTTAAATCGATTTTTCTAACATCACGGATGTTGAATCCAAGAATGAAATACAACTTGTCATCAGACAAGTTTATTAAACGTTATAACTTTTTTAAATCCATTTATTAAGAGAAAGTACATTCTGGAGCGACAGAGCACCAAAAATATGCCCCACACAAATAAGATAGTATTTTGAATAACTAAAGAGAAGAAGGGTAGTAGTAGTACTATCACTAAAGAAGTTAACAGAGATAATATTTATTAAGTTTCACTTAAATATAAAGCCAAGGAAAGCTTCTACGAGTTTGTGAAACCCATCTTACTATGAAGATTGTAGTAGGAAACTACAGTAAGGTTGCCACTGGCTTTTATTTTGAGCCTTATCTAATAGCAACTCAAACTACTGAGTTGCATTATCTCCAGGATCCCATTCAGGTCCCGATGGACTGGCAAATGCTAGTCTTATACACCTAGCTTTCGTACCACGACACCATGTCATAAACTAAACAAGCCTGTTACTTCTTCAATCCATCTCAGTTTCTTCAATTAATCTACAAAATGTAAGCCACTGAGATGACATCTATAAAACACATTTGTAACAGTGCTTGATAGGAACAAATGAGATAGGTGAACCTTGTCCTGTCTCATGTGTTTGCGTACAGAGCCTTCAATATGTCAATAGGGTAGACAGCACTATCGACCCATGGACGGAAAACCGAGAAAAAAAGACAAAATAGTTTCAAATAATTATAGGTGGAGTGAATGTATACTTTGGTTTCATGATTGGATTATGAAAGAAGTAAAAAGTCGATGAATAGATTACTTGGGATAACATAACTAAAGTCAGACCAAAATAGTGTAAACGATTAACTTTTTCAGATATCTGGCAATAAATCCAAAATAGCTTTTTACATTTTATCAGTTTATTACCCATTTATTGATATTCACGATCATATTTTACAGACTTTCATTTATTATCGTACTATATACAATAACTTAGATCTATGTAACAGTTGTTGTATTTATCTGTCCGTCTGTCACTTCATCATGATGAAGTTGGAAGATAAAGCGGTCAACTAATAACATTTCTGAAATTGATTGATCATATAAAATAAGTAGAAAGAAAATAGTTTACGATTAAGAAGAGAATATCTATAAATGAACCCCGATAATAAAATTAAGTAGTCAAACGAGACAAAAATATGATTCTTTGTGGGATTTAAATCAGTGCGGGATTATAGGTGAAAAAGAGAGATAGTATACAATGGATTATATAAATATGATAAATTTGCTTGAATGAAGTTAGAGTAGTTGACTGTTACAGGCTGATAAATCATAAGCTACAGAGATTTAGATAAAAATTAATAATTTCTATATGAAAGTTAAATAATAAGTAGGCAGAAAAATAGATATTGATGAAATAAATTGGCATAAAATTTCTAGTTAAACCAAAAGATTTGAATTAGAAATAATAAGATGAACACTGAATGTGACTAAATAACAACAAATGATATTAATTTTGCACAACATTACTACCACGTTAAGTCATCGGACATGAGTAATTTATATTAGTCAAATAAACCGACATATTAACAATCCCTTATAAGTCTAAGAGAAATCAATAATTTTGTGAAATGGTGGTATTGTTTTAGATTATATTTAATCTGCATAATATGAGTATTTGCAAGTGATAACGCTAGGCTACACATAATGCAAAGCCAATTAACTAAAGAATAAATATATATGCCTGCTAAAACCTTTAAAATTTTCAACAAAATATTTTTAGTAAAGTTCTTTGGTCTAGATAATTTATTAGGGAGATTTCATTGTCGTTCTTGACCTCATCAGCGACTAATTTATGTAGAAATGAGCTTTTCAGTTATTGGACAAATGTCATCGTGGGTATTGCAGTATTTATTTGTTTTTGCACTCATGTATATTGTGTTTTTTCCTCTGACTTACGATTAATTGATTTTTGCTACAACAGGGGTTGATAGACTGTATCTTTTTCAGTGTCTACTGATTGAGGATCTATAATTGAAAAGCTCATTTTTACATAAATTAGGTCCTGATGATGTTGTTCAAGACAAAATTCAAGGCTCAGTAATTGAATTATCAGGCTCAGAGAACTCAATAATACCAAAATCAATCACCTGAACTGCAAAATTTTTCCATCGTTTCAAGAGCTACAGATTAATGAAATAGCCTTATCCACTTGATGATTTATATACTCAATAATGACAAAACAAACGATAAAGAGGTAATGCATAGAAGATAAAAACACAAAAAGACAACAACTAACAGGTGTAACTGGACATGATTGATCTTCGCTATTAGCACCGGTAGTAGTATCGAGCACTTGAGAATTTTCTCTATCAATACGACGTTTTTGAAATTCATGCAATAAATCACCAGCATGTGAACCGAGTTTATGACCATCTTTATCTTGAATATAATGAAAATGATAATTGTAAAGACTTTAAACTCCAAATAAAAAATACACAAACACAAAAACAAACCAAGTTATACGATAACACGTGATGATTTGATCTGTAACAAAACCCATAATGCCTAACAAAGTTTTAACGAAACTCACTAAGAAGAAAAGGACAAATTGTGTTGTAGAAATTTCTGTTGTCCAATACTGTCAGTTTATAACTAACTCACCCACAGTTTAAGTCATAAAAGTGAACGGAGTAGTAGTATTACCGTTAGTGTTAACTAACTGACTCAATATATCATGTCCTCATATCCACAAAATTGGCCTGAATTCCTATGCAACCGTATTAGTAGATTGAATAACTTTGGTAATCAGACTCGATCTAATGGATTCAATATAGCAACACAAAATATGAAATGTAGATTGACCCTAGTAACCTAGATACAATATTTAACTAGTCTAATAAACACAAAACCATGTGGGAACAATCCATTTAGCCATAAATATTTGTGATAAATCTTCTGACTGAACGCTTGAATAGGTTTCTTAAGCTCTTCTAACAACCCCAGGCCAAATCTATACAATAAGTTGAACACGAGAGAAAAGGCGCGAAATATAGACAGAACGCTTAACTTCAAGGTTAATTTATGTACAGAAAATTGAGGGTGCTTATAGCGATCCAGATGACCTTGAGCTTCTGGAAGGTTCTAGAACCCTACTAAACATAGTAGCAGGATAGATAGTCACCCAATCAGAAATGTGACACGTGACTCTTTACTTTCTAAGAAGCTTCTATTCAATACTGACCGGATAAAATGTTTCCCAGCGTTTTCAGGGCCCCTTTGGGTTGTTTTCGGGGAATACTCTGGGTTTTTTAAAAATTTGCTCTCGAGATGACAACATTATATACTTGTAAATGGTATAACGATCGGAAAAACTTGTAACATTTTAGGTAGAATTTTATTTAATACACTATCCTTCACAAAACACAATACTTCTATTTTCAAATGGATGAGGATGTATGCAAAAAAGCCATTGGGATAAAACGAGAAAATGAATGAAGAGAAAAGCGAAGAGACAAAATGAAAAACATGTCTAATCTAACCGGTGTGGTGGTAAAATATGACATGGAGATGTACAGACACACACACACACACACAAAGATAAATTTTTCTGTGTAAGGACAAACGAATGCTCATACTTGGTCCACGTATACAGCCACTGATAGGGAAGTCCTACTCACTAACTTTTCGCCGCAGGGGTGTTGTTTACGACATTGAGAGGATAAAAAGCGAATGACCGGGGCTTGAAACCGGGTCAGTGAGTAAGGGGGATTCAACTAGGGGAGTTGAAAAACCCTGATTCCAAACTAATGATGCACATGGACTCCAGGATCCTGAGGGTACAAATGGGGTATAAACCTATTGTTGGTCACAAAATACCATGGGATCGCATCTCTTAACGTTGCTCCATTGCCTTGTGAATTAGATCTTGAGATCAAAGGTTTGGGGAGTGACCCTATAAGAGAACTACAAGCTTCGGTTTGGTCACCCGGGCACTACATCCCAGCCTTTATACAAATCATATGTGGTGCATATATATTTTGGTGCCACTTTGTAACATAATGGGTTTGAATAAATAAACTGGACGATGAACAAATGATAACCTTTATTTAGTTCTTTGCTCAGTTTTAATTCATTTTAGAGATGAAAGATAAGCGCCTGAATGAAAGTTTTACCAATCCCAACAAGGAAATTGATTCGATTTTCATGATATTCAACAAAGATATCAGGATTATTGAACAAATATGCTTGAAATTTCTTTTAGTTTTGCGTTTTATATATGTATAAACACAAAAACACAACACACTCACCACTTTCTATATCGATAATAATTGAACTTTGCATTGATGCAACCATCTCTTTAGGTGATAAACTACCAGACATTGTTCTATTACATGGTGATGAAGATGATGGAGATTTCCGATGACTGGTAGTATCATCAACACTGACAGATTGTTTCACTGCCAAACGATCATTAGTAACAGGATCAAATGATGAATGAGGTGATTCTTCTGTAATTGATTGCATTTGACCTCCTGTTAGAGCAGTAGAACGAGATAATAACATTGAATTTCGTACCGTTGTGGATATGTTATGTTCATGATGATCTGCCATAGAACTATTCATATCTGTTGAAGTAGATGACATTTGACCATGTAGTGAAAATAACCGGTCCACTGAAGCTTGCATACTGGCGGAAATATTGGCCGATTCTAAATTAGCATTTTCATTAGTGTTTTGATCAGCTGAAATATTTTGTACTTTATCTTCTGACATAGTATTATTATCTTGTGAATTTGTAGATGCAACTGTTTGGTTGGAATTAGATTTTTGATTTAAAAATTGTAAATTCGGATTAGGTGGAAGACGAAATCCCGACAAAGAATGAGTCATTAACCGAGGCTATAGAAAGAAATAAGTATGAAAGAACTTATATGGAAATCTGATGAATTAAAAATCTAGGCTATATTGGAAGAAAGAATGGCTGATTAGATCATAAAGAAATCCCTCTTGATGTAAATTATCATATCGAACCCAGATGAACCAGAAGAGGGTTCGCGGGTAGAATATCATATAAGGTAGAAGATACGAACAGGTTTTGACGTTTTACTCCCAAAGAAAAAGTAAATATTGTTTGCTCACATCATTGGACTCAAGCCTCAAGTAGTGGCATATTCTGGGAATTACTGAGCTCAAAACTGTGGCCACCAGGAAGAACAGGCAAACGACGGGAATGGGGTGGATATTCAAAAAGAAGTACAGGTCGGGAACAAAAATTAGGTGCTTATTCACATACACAAAACTAAATAGTCTGTGTAAGTTCTTTCTACACTTTTGATATCAAGACAAATAATTTAGCGATTCACCGATAAGTTACCCTAGAATGGAAACGATATCCAGTAAAACCATAAGAGTTTAATTAATTCAACTACATGTACAAATAATCTTAAGCGAAAATTTGTTGAAAAATGTATGCTATTCCCCAAGAATACAACTAAACTCAACATAGAAAGGAATTTTAAATCCACCATTTCGAATTTTAAAACCACGAGTGTATATTTGAATCAAGTGCTCCAAAACTCGGGTTTTCCATGGCTGATTAAATGCAAGTTTTTAGGAACTTGTGCATCTCCCAATAGTTTAGTTGTCAGCTACCGTTTAAAGTGTTATTTGTATTTATTTATGTCTTCTTGTTACCACTTTGTATGGTCTAACATTGTCCATAACTAATTGATGTGATTGAGATCAAAGGTGATAGATGTGAGAAAATTCGACATGGAAAATCCATCTTAAATGGAATACACGTGATTTTCTTCATAGTTTTCAGTTTAAGTAGACAACTCATACGAAAATCTTTGTCTACCTTATCAGTCAAATTCGATATAAAAAAGCGAAGAAATGAAAAGTGGCATATATAAGAAAGCTTACACCACGTCGAGATAAATTTGGTAAACCAGAACTCCGAATAACTGGACGCAAACCTGTATTGATACCATTATGATGATTGATGTCATATTCACCGTTAAGTTCATCATTTTGTAATGACGGTGGATTCATGCGTAAGAGACCACTGGAAAGTCCTTCATAAGCAGGAATAAGACTTCGCATTAATTCACCACTAGGTCCTTGAAGATGGCCTCTTTTTAAAGCTGGATTATGTATTGATAATACTGAACGCTGAATACTCGATCCCATTATGGTATTTGATTCTGGTATGTGAGTATAAGGAAATACGAGTGGTTTCACAGTAGGTTGAGTTAATATATGTTCTGGCCATAAACTAGATTCAAGTGTTGGTCGATTAATTGGTTGTACTTTCAAATCTAATTCATATGATTGGAATGGTTGACTAAAATTCACTGGTTTCAATGATTGAAGCCATGAATTTAATGATAAATCCGGTGCAACAGGTTGACGACAATGACTAGTAGAATGACTATGTGCTCGTTGATTTATTTCATTGTTTTGTGTAGTATGTAAAGAAATATTCTGATTGTAAAGACGTTCAGTTTCTTCTTCTTCGTCTAAATCACCTAGAAAACACGCAGAGAGAAAGACTATTTAATTATGAAATGAACAATATATCGATTGTAAAAGTTTAGTGAAATCGGTAGCTTTATATCTATTGGGAACATCAACATTTATTATTATTATTATTATTATTATTATTATTATTATTATTATTATTATTAATTATACAGTGTTTAACATGGTCTTCATCGACATTAGCTAGGATTATTGAAAACTAAGGTCAATTAGTCAAAAGCAACGTAGAACTTGACGCATATATGTGTCGGTCGACGCTGCAGTACAACATCATTACAGCGAGACCAAGTTATCAAGACAAATTGCGAAGCAGTAGCAGTAACGGTATTAGTGACAATATAAAAATTAAGGATACACAATATGTTTCAAGAGAAAAGAATGAATTGGTGAAATGAGAAAGATGATTTTAAAACTGAAGATTCAAGGTGAAGCAAAGAGTGAATATATCTGCGTCAGTAAGATCGATTCTGAGAAACACCAAAGTTTCTAACCATTGGTTATGATAATCAAACGGATCTCAATGAAGTAGTCTGCACCTACCGAAATAGCTCAGTTCGACAGTCAATTACTTTATGAATTGATGTTACGTTTTGCTTTGATCACTCTTTTCAACCAACTCTTACATAACATTAAGGGGTATTAGAGAGTTTTTTAGGCAAAACTTGGAACTTCTTACAAATAGAGTGTATGCACGACCCAACTCATAGGATTGCAATCCAAAGTGATAATAATACCGAAGTTTGACAGTCCTAGAAGGAAACTTGTTATTCGATTATATCTGGACTTCAATCCTTTTCCTTTTAACGTTTAGTGTGTCATGAGAATAATCATTTAAAATAAACAGAAAAATTCAGCTAAACTATATGATGGTTTGACCTACAAATGTGGAACGGTCAAGAATAACCAACAATTTTGATACAAAATTGAATATGTATCCACTTAGTGTCAATGTGTCGTTCTATAGTTGCTTACAATCTAATAGAAATCAATGTGACAAAAAATATTGACCTGAATAGGAAAGAGAATAATAACTATGATGTAGTAAGAATCAAAGTGTAGATGTAAGTAGTTAGAGTGATTATGTTCATGAATAATAAAATTATTTAACAAAGAAGGACGGTTAAAAGTGTACGTTCTATAAAAATAAAATATAACAAAATAGTAACTATGAGGACAAAAAATATGTTCATAAGTAAAGAGTACAAATTATGCAAGAAATTATCATTGAGATTATAAATGGGGACAATTGCTTTTTTGATTGCGAAGGTTAGACGTTAGTTGTTCAACAGTTACGACCTAATAAAAGAACGAGCAAATTTGAATCAACTTGGTTATACTAGGAATTTTAAGACTTTGAAATGATGCCCTGCAATTAAATAAGCGATTAACAAATGCATCCGTCGAAGATTTATGCACTTTTGAGTTCTAGATGTGTTTGGGATGAACAATACATTTTAGTTTTAAGATAGGTACTTTAGTTTGTACACTTGGTAATGACATAAAAAATGAGTTATTGGATTTGTCACATAGAGCCTCTTCAATAGATAGTGACTAGTTTAACAGGCAGACAGGTCGTTTTTAGTGTAACATTTATTCCACGGTCGATTCATCTAGCTGTTAAACCGGATGTCCTTAGGTACTATTATGGAGCTAATCGAGTCATGAAACGACCAGTGTATAACATTGTGCTGTGAGCAGTTCGGTCTTATGTTTGAGTCAAAACAAAGGAATAATCTATGAGTAGTTCGGATCGCGCTGGATTGCATAACTTGGGATGATTTGTGTAGTCTAGTGACGACTACTCATTAAATCCGAGTTTATTGATATAATAGGCGTTATAAACAAAGTCTCCTTGTATACACTTATACATAAAGAATTCGACACAAACGTGATTCAAATCTATTTAAAGAGTAAATGACAGTAAGATTATAATTTTGTAGATAACTCACAAGCCTAGAAAATCAAGGTCTAATTATCTGATGCACATGTTGACTAACAGATGAACGCGTGAAAGCTGATCATTCTGAGTATGTCTGATAAGACTCTACATTATGTCGCTGATATCTAAGGATAATCACTTTTAATAAGATCATATAGGTTCCAGTGACATATGATCCACGATAGCTACAATATTTAATATCATGATTCAACAATGATTCGTACACTTAAGAAGTAGCTTATATTGTTTATGAAGATATTAAAATGTCAACCTAGCTGCATTTATATCGAGTACTATTTGTTGTCACTAGGACAAGGTTAAAAGAAGAGAATTTTTTGGTTTATGAGTGCATATAATCTAATTGTGTTGGACATCATTTGTCATCAAAAATAAAATAAACAAAATCCTCACTACTTTTGAAACCAATGTGTACATAAACAGAATATATTTTTCAACATGGTTATTTTTATATTCATCGATAAGTTAATGTGGATATCTACTGTTGAGTAGGTATCTTTTGACAATAGCATATTATTCTAAAATGTTTTTGAATACATTTGAATTGGATCTTCTTCAGCTGGCATAAAAATAGTTGTTGAATGAAAAATGAATATTTTACAGAACAAATACCCATATATGAGGTACAGATGCTCAAACCAAAGACAGTAGAGTTAGAGCTGGAGAAACGCTAGTTGAAAGACCAATACTAAACGCAAAATATAAAGCTCCGCATTCATCACTACACTTATTGGAAATTTAAGTAAAGGGGTTTTGTGGAGATTGGTTCAATTTGTAGATATTATTCGTCACAAGTTGATCACATTTACAGTATCATTGAAAACCAGGGACTACTAAACAGCTGCTTCACTGTAGTATGGAACTCACAAGCAGAGTGAATCTACAACTCTACTAAGGATTGAACCCAGGATCTTTAGTTCTCGTGAAGAACGTCTAACCATCAAAGCCTATGGAATGGCATCCAGTGATATACTTTCAACTTCAATTTATTTGTTGTCATATAATACCACTAGTGATCATTTACTGATGACCAAACAAACTATTTTGTCAACAAATACACAAACCTCCAAGCATTCCAGTTATCTGCATTTGAGCTTTCCGTTCTGTTGCCATAAGAGCACAGTAATCTACACAGGCTTCGTATAGTAAACCTTTAACAAGTAATCGTAAAAGTCGGTCACCACGAGCATTTTCGTCAGTTGATGCCTGGCCACTAGATGAATGTTTACTAAGTTGAATAAATGGTTGCAAGAGCGGATAGATCTAAATTGAAATATTTTCAAAGAAAAAGAGAAATAATAAAAGAAACAAAAAACAATAGAAAGGAAACCCACTAGTCTTTTAAAAAAATTTAAAATCAGACATTAAATGTCTCAACACACAGATTTATGTACTAGAAAAAGAACATTGGTAACTCGCTTCATGCATTGTCCCTAATTTTACATCATTTTTAATACTTTCAAATCTATGATTTTACTTGCACACTGAATAATCTCAAATGACGTTATTCTTAGCTATTTCATTAGCTCTGTGATCTTAGAATACTCAATGCAGGAGGAAAAGTCGGAGACTAGAGAATAAATTGCGTCGGAAATTGGAGGTAGATATTTTAAAAAACGAATACCATTTGGTAATAACTGGAAAAGATAATCCAGGACAGAGTTGGTTGGAGAATCCTGGTGGGTGGCCTATGCTCCATGAGGGGTAACAGGCGTAAGTAAGTACGCAATTATTTTTAGCTATTATTTTGATGTTATAGAATCTTTGCTTTCGCCTAATATAACTTAGTAATAAAGGACGAAGTCGAAAAAGTTTCGAACCTGATATTTATTTAAAGATGAAAGATACTATTGCGAGCTACCCAAACAAAACAGAAACGATAGAAGCTATAAAAAATGTTACTCCACATACACAAAGTGAAAAAGCTTACACAAAATATCATTGATAGACCAGACGATTTCAAATAGATCACAGGCTATCTCAAGGCCACTTGAAAATGAGAAATGCAAATGTACACAACAGATTGTGAGTAGGCGAATTATTCACCTAGCCGAGGTTACCACCTGTTATAGCTTGTGAACCTGTGTGCCCAGTTTATTGTATAACACAACGATACCGCCAATCAGAGAGCAGCGAACTATCGACCGAACCATGTGCGAGCAGAGAATAAATAACCAAGAAGTGACTTAGACTAAGTCATAAAACATCAGAAAATCTCATTTTTCTACTCATTGGGATATTACAAATATATCATTAATTTATAACAATCTACCCAATGCTCAATTTATTCGAAATTATCGAGTCAAACCTTGGTAATGATATCTATAAAATGAACGGTTAAGACTTAGGTGAAATCACTACAACTAAATAATCCCTGTTAATTTGTGTTTTCACATTTGTAGTTATTGCTTGACCCAAAGTGAACTATACGAAAGTGTTATTACATGTGAAATAATTTCACAGTAGGATAGATTCATCTGAAACATTCGTCAAGGAGAAGCTGATATCTTTGAAAGTACTGATGCTACCATACATCACTCCTAGTATATTTTGATGGATACCGCTGGTTGACTGTTGTTACACATAGTCTACATAACGATAATTACTACTCAGTCAACCATTGTATTTCGCCTATTTCCCGCTGCCTTCTTCAGCAGTTTTACGTAGACAGCATTAACTAGTGTGATTTTTTTAAATGGTTGAACATGTATTTCTAAATACTTAATAGATATTCAGCATCACTTTTTATCCCATAACAATCATTAGACTAGCAGTTATAAACATGCTGATTTCTCATATTACATTGAAATGAATTGATAAGCAATCTTTCTAACTAGCCATTCAAGCCTAAATGTGACATAAAAAGGGCATAGAAACTAGTTTTTTCTAACTACATGCTGAACAACATGCATAGAAAAGTGGTTGTTACTGAGAAGTAGAAAACAAACAACGTCAACTATGCTATTTTATTACTGTTTGAGCATAAATCTTAACTATCCGCCAGTTTTTATTTACACAAACTGAAAATAATGCTGAAGGCAGCAGGAGATGAGTGAAGGAGGGGTGGACGAAGAGAGATTTAATATAATTATTTATCAATATTATTAAAACTAACCTGATTAAAGCATTGTAAACGGCCTAAACTTGGATTCCAATAGCGATAATCCGGATGTTGGTCTAATCGTGTTAAAGTTAACAAAAGAGTTAAATCCCGATACTCTGCCTGAGTTTCACATTCAGGTTCTAACTGTTTCAAACAATCAATAACCTGTTGTCGTTTTTTTTAGAGAATAACAAAAATAATAATAAAATAATGTGTTATTTATAAGAGAATAATGAATATTGTACATTGATAAATAATCTATTGTGGGGTTTTTGATGCATTCCTCTTTAAATCTAATTTATTCAAATAAAGATAAACAAAACGTATAAAAAACAATTCAATAATGCTTGTAAAACTACAGAAATTGTATAGAGTAACCATTATTGTTAAAACAGATAGTCTCAGGAGCATTTTTAATGAATCCATGTTAACAGATCAAGTAAAAATTAGATTAGCTCAATGTAATTAGTTTGTAGTTTACAAAAAAATATACAGATGTAGGACAGGATAATAGAGCATTGATTAACGTAACTATGTTAAGTGAACCGGTAACATTTAATTATATAGCTTGAAATTGATTTTAGGTTCTAGTAAGGTGAAACATAATCTTGCAACACACAAACTAACCTGTTCAACACCATGATCTATATTATTTTCGTTAACATTAACACCGGTAGTCCCATTAGCTGAATTATTCCCATCCAAGTTAGTTACATCACGTAGACACAATAATTCTAGATACTTATGTTTTAATAATAAAAATCGAGGCTTCCTAAGATCTAACGCAACAGGTGGACCTCGTAATGGTTCCAAATAGTCAAGTGCATCGTCCCACTACAACAACAAAAAACGAGGAAATGATTGTTAGAACAACTTGATACATTAATAAACTTATCGCGTACAAATAAGAATAATCAAACTGATAATTAGCTCATAGAAATTATTTCTAAATCATAACTGAAAAAAGAAACATTCAGAATACAGAACCACATAATAAGGAATTTAGGCTATCATTTATTTATGAACCAGCTGACAAAAAATTGAGTTATTTATCTGATAATAAGTAATTAACCAGTATAAAAATGAAAGTCACAGAACAAATAGCAACCAATGGTCCATCACTTCTACATAAAATAACAATGTATGGTTGCATTTTATCTAAAATTATTATATCTCCTCCAAATCCGAACTGAATCGACCGAAAAATGGATTGCTTTTCTATTATTATTGTGATGGACACTACTTACAAGATAGCTTATAAATAGCATGCAACGGAGCGCCTCAGTTGCTGTAGTCGACAGCCGAAGACAGAAAATGGGAGGGTAATTACCTGTGGGTTAGTGGTATTATCTAAATATTTCAGTATAAAAAAGTCCAATTTCTGAGGGATACCAACATAATTAACACAGTATATTAATACATATAATATCTTGTGAAATGTTGGTGCATGCAGTTATAAATCTAATCAAATTATATGTGAGAAAAAAATTCTCTGCTGTGAAGGGCGGCCTGCTTGAGCATCTGGGCTACCTGTTCCTCCCATCTAGATATTTCAACAAGTTATCTATTTTTGTTTGTTTCAATATATCATTATGTCTATTCATCGCATAACCTATTCTGCTGCGTTTCTGAAAAGTGTACAACCTTTCGTTGTCAAAGTTACAAAAAACTCAATAAGAGACAATGTGGTTGCTGGCAATATACAACGAAAAGAATGCAAATTATTCAGATGTTCATTTATGGAACTGCTAACATCTAACTGGCAATCACTCAATATTTATCGCCAGGACCGACCAAGAAGAAAGAAACGAAACTTGTTGAAATACTTTGCGCTGAGAATTGTATATTGTACCAAAAATATAATATTGAATAAAGCTGATAATAATAATAATAATAATAATAATAATAATAATAATAATAATAATAATATGGTTTTATTTCTTAATAGGTATTAAGAACGTAGTATGTGTATAAACTATTATAATTGACTATTATATCTCTGATCATATGTACATCTTAATAAGACAGCTGAAAACCAATTAGTTAGTTCACTTTCTAATGTGTAATATCTTTCTCTATCTCAGTTGGAATTTGATTGGCAAATTGAGATACATTACATCATTCATTTCAAAAGTTAATCCATATATATATAACATGGTTAAAAAAATTGTTTTACAGGTATTCTCTAAATATTAGTTACGTTCCTAAACAACAGCTTATACTAATATAAATTGATTGGTGGTTGAAGCAGAAGTTAAATGGTGATAATGTAGCGTGACATTCATTTACCTATTCCAGATTTTTCTAGATTCATTGATTCCCTCCATTATGGCTCCTATTCAGATGATTTTATTAAATGTATTTATTTTTAAAAATGTCAATATTATGTAATCAAATTATTAGTTAGCAGTATCATTTAACAGTGATTTAAGTAAAATTCTTTGAAATATTAACTGAATGATGCAGAATCAAAAACAAAATAATTTTATCTCATCATAATGACTCACTTCAGAAAAATGTAATTCATGTATTAAGCAAGATTATTTAGTCATAGAGATGTGATAATTAATTATTGTTTCATTTTACTTATTACTTAACTAATTATTGTATTTTCAATAGTTAAGATCATGAGTCAGTTGAAGCTAGACCACCATGGAAAACCTGGAAGCACTGGATGGCCGTTTCGTCCTATTGTGGGATTCGAACTCAGGACCTACTGGTATCGCGCGCGAGCACTCAACCACTAGACCACTGAGCCGGTATCCAACGGTGTGAATGTTTAACTTCAACTAATCCACGAAATTGAGCGACACATCCACCATTGTCTTCAGTGAGTTACTATCTCACAACAGACCTGGTTGAACTCCACTGGTCACTACTTCTCACTAGAACTCCAGGATATACCTCTTGAGGCCAGTCACTAGTGAGCATATGTTGATTAATATCAGATGGATTTTGTAGATATTATATGCTCACTAGTGACTGGCCTCAAGAGGTATATCCTGGGGTTCTAGTGAGAAGTGGTGAACAGTGGAGTTCAATCAGGTCTGTTGTGAGATAGTAACTCACTGAAGACAATGGTGGATGTGTCGCTCACTTTCGTGGATTTGTAGAAGTTGGACATTAACACCGTTAGATGGCGGCCAACTCAGTGGTCTAGTGGTTAAGCGCTCACGCGCGAGACTGATAGGTCCTGGGTTCGAATGCCGTAAGGTGGGGTCATGGATGCGCACTGCTGAGGAGTCCCACAATAGGATGGAACGGCCGTCCAGTGCTTCCAGGTTTTTCATGGTGGTCTAGCTTCAACTGTCTCATGATCTTAACCATTGAAATTACTATAATATCCACAAAACCCATCTGATATTAATTATTGTATTGTTGGTAAATTTTAATATCATTGTCTATATTTATATTTACTTGAGAATGGTATTTTTCTTATTTAAACACGAAACCTATGGTCATATATTTATTACGGTATAATTTTCTTAGATACTCTTAAAACAGTGACTTCCGACAGGTAGGGTTGAAGTTTGAGATATGTTTTAAATTACATGAATCATTAGACGTTTTCTGTGCTAGTTTAGTATGTTGCTTATACAGAACAGTGATTTTGATATCAATTGATTGTAGATGCTAATTGAATGTAGAAGTCATGCTTGTTTGTCATGAAAATCTAGTTGAGTTGTAATGAGTGGATTACGAATTCCTAGTCGTTTTATCAAGTCGCGCGCTGTTTGTAAAGCTGTAAAATCAAAATGGGAAATTTTAGATCCAAAGGAGAGGTTGTACTATTGACTCTAACAGGAAATCGAAGCAGTAAAATGTTTTCTACGTATAACTGTTGTAATGTGTGACCGCAGATTTTGATAACAGCGTTTATCGATCGACTCAATGACACGAAAAACACGTAAGGACGACCTAGAGTCCCGATTGGCCCCGCTTCGCTGTCTAGCCCAGCCAGTTGAGTCCAGAACACAAGTCTCAGCCTCTGAGTTATGAATCGTTATATTTCAAACATACTCTGTTTATATACCAACCAAACAAACCACATCGTACCATAAAATAGAAAACAACATTTGTACAATATTTAACAAGTGAAATAAATATCGACCGATAGGGAATGTCCATTTAACGTCCAAGGACATCATTACACTTAACACGAAAATTATTGGTATATTTTTCCGAACATCCTAACAATAACTAATATCCTCAATGTCACATTTTTAACAGACCTAAGTAGACATACAAAAAGCTCGGTCTCTAAAACAGAGAATTCTTATTTTCTTTCGACACTGGTCCCGAAGATAACCAAGTATAGAGCCAACAATACAAAACTATAAACAAATTTCCCTAGGAAGGCCACAAGTCACCGATATCAAACAGTCTTCTATTGAGCTCTGAGGTGCAGCTCTCGGACTGATGGAGATATTAACATCAACCCAGTTTCTTGTTCAGGTTCCCTAAAAAGAAGCATTCTCCTACAATATGCGTAGTTATGACTTCCAAACCACTAGCACACATTTAACATCACCAGGTTTTATCCTACTTACGAGATAAATACTGAACTAACTGCCTATAGGCACTGATCGATATGTTTACGTTGCTTAGTGTCAGGTGTGATTCAATGGTAGATTTAGTTTCCACCACTTGGACAACTCGACGGTAGGATGGATATTGTAACTATGTAGCTTTCAAACAGGTATCTGCTAGGTGTTACGACCGAATAACTACAAAATATTTGGTCACTGGAACATTAGTTCTGACTGAGCTGTTCGCAAACAATTTGGGGACCATTCCACTAACCATCAAGATTGGTTTTTCCATTGAAGTCAAGTTTTAGATAATTTTTATTGAGTTGGCAAAATGGTAAGACTTGACTGAGTTCACCCGGCAGGGATGGTATCGGGGCTTAAACTAGTCAATATATTTCAGGGATTAACTTACATGACCTTCCAAAATTAATTGACGAAAGAATAGTATATCTTCATTGAACGGTCCATTTACTTGTCCAGTTTCTCGTTCTAGGGCTAACATAGAGATGGCTAGATCACGTTTTTCCAAAAATTCCAAAATTAATTTAACTACATCTGCTTCGTATACTGTTAGTTGAACTTTCTCATGTTTTTGCACACTCATTCTCAATAATGTTACAAATCAGCACTAGTGATTAGAAGAGTGATATGTGTATAATTTGATACATCAATTATCTGCTATTCGAAAAAAGAAAACAATTAGAAAACATAATATAGGCGTTAAATAATTACACAACTGTTATAGCTTTAGTAAATGAGAGTATTAAGAAAGATTTCTTTAATGAGTTGTTTTTAACTCTTTTTAATGAGGCAACGTATTTCCTCCCGTGCTACTGACTATCTGGAAGAAGTGACATGAAATATCCAAAAATGAATTGTATGAAATAGTCGTGTAATATGTTTAGTAGAAGGATTATTTCTCATAATACATTTTGCTTTACTCAAAGCACGATAAACTAACAATGTAGGAAAAATTTGTAGGGTTAATTTCCATGAAATCTGTCATTTTCACTTCATTCTCCAAGCGATATGATGCGGGTCCAGAGTGAGTAGGGTACTTCTAAAATTTCCAAATACTCTATTGTAGCTAGGCCTAGCTGAAATTTTGCTTTGGAAGTCTTGTCCCATGAAGATAAAAAAGCTTATTTTCATTTAAATAATGAGTATATACTAAAACATCCTGTAGGGACGAATGCAACTTAGAACATAGAACGACGTGCCCATAGGTTGAAGTTGCCGTACCACACTGGGCAGAGAGCTAGAACTATCAGGACGCCCCCCAAATGCCCTGGTACGGCCGAGAGTGGGGAGTCAGTTCTACCTTTTAGTGACCCTTAATCTGACTACAGTTAGACCGGAGAAATGATCGTTATCGGGTGATCGCTATCTCCTATTCTCGTATATAATTATCAACTTAATCCACATTGGTGAATAACGAAATCAAACAAGCCAAATACTAGAATGGATTTTCGAATACGTATATTTTGTACAATCATCGATCTGAACAGACAATCAGAGGGACGAAGCGGAGAGAAATGACGCGCAATGGAGAAGGTAAGTGAGCCAACTCAATTTAATCAAGCGTTAATCAATATTTATAGTCAGATGAAAATAAGTTACAGATATGTGATGAATGGGATAAGAAGTGCACACACATATGCTCATATGAAAACAGTCAAGGTTGATAAGCAAATAGCTGAAAAGGCCGAAATGTGATTTCAGAAGAATGAATAAGTTGGCTTGTCCGGAAGCCAAAATAAGCTTAATGGGCTTAACATAGTAACCGACACTACAACCTCTCGAAATTCTCTCACATGGCTACGTGCATACAACCACTGTCAGGAAAGTTCTACTCACTGAATCCTCGCGGCAAGGGTGTTGCTTAAGGAATTCAGAGGATGAAAAGCGAGTGGTTGGTGTTTTAACCGAGTTGGTGGATATGGGAGATTCACCTGAGTTGGGAAACCCGCATTCCAAACTAAAGCTGCACATCGGATCCAGGTCCTTAAGGAAACAAGTGGCGTATGAGCCTATCGTTGGCCACCAGTTGCCATGGGACTGCATGTCCTAAAGATACTCCACTGCCTTGTGGATTAGATTTTTAGTCCTGTTACCACAATATAGATTGAATTAAAGAACGTTCCATGCAGGATGTTGGGGAACGCTGATTAGCTATCTCTTAACCAATCAGCGCCAATGGATACTTGGAGAAGACTCTAGAATCTCGCGTAAAATCTATAAAAATACTAACATTTTTCTTATTGTAATTCTTACTTTCATCTACCCTTGTTATTTGGAATATAATTTCGTTCTTGTTCAACCGTGTTCTGATTTGAGAACTGGTCGATTGAAGTAGCGTCGAAGAATACTAAGCAATAGGAAAAGCTGGGTCGTAATAAGAGAAATTATTATAGTTGCGACGGGGGAAATGAGAATATATTCAAGATGCCAATATCAGATGACCAACTCAACCGAATACTACAACAACAGCAAACACAAATGCGGTTACTGGAGACTGACGAACAAGCTTAACATTCATTGCTCAAGCTTAACCTAGTGATAGTATTGACACTACTGCAGGTTAAATTAGGATTTACCTGTTCAATTAACTCATTGTCGTGTCTGATGTTTTTTAGCCATTTACACTCATCCATCAATGTCTTGAGTGTGACGTTTGGATCTTGATCCAGTCGAATTAAAAGTTTAGTCATAGTCTCAGCATCTTGTGGTGAACGAAGAGCTTTGATGAATATTAGACAAATAAATTGGTCTTCTTTCAATGAGCATAACTAGAACCGTACACACTCTGTTGACGACGTCTGCTAGAGCACCATATTCATCAGCTTCGTGTTTCACCAAATTTAGACACTGATATCGAATACTAAACAATGAAGAGGAGTCTTTTAATATCTCTGACAATTCAGTTACTGTCTTCTCGAAACTGAGTTCTCGAGGTAACATTGGCAATATATGGTCAGCATAATGTGCATGTTCATTTCTTCCCAACTTACTCATCAACAATCGAGTCTTCCACTCGTCATCTTGTTTACAGAATTCTATTCGAAATGTATCTTTCCAACGCTTGAACGACGTGAGAAAGGCATTTTTACTTTCGGGGTCATAGATGAAGTCTGTGATGCTCCCAGCAACTGCACCACAAAAAGTATTTGAAATAGCGTGTGAACTTGAGCAGTGGATGTTAAACTTGTTCGTCAGTCTCCAGTAACCGCATTTGTGTTTGCTGTTGTTGTAGTATTCGGTTGAGTTGGTCATCTGATATTGGCATCTTGAATATATTCTCATTTCCCCCGTCGCAACTATAATAATTTCTCTTATTACGACCCAGCTTTTCCTATTGCTTAGTATTCTTCGACGCTACTTCAATCGACCAGTTCTCAAATCAGAACACGGTTGAACAAGAACGAAATTATATTCCAAATAACAAGGGTAGATGAAAGTAAGAATTACAATAAGAAAAATGTTAGTATTTTCATAGATTTTACGCGAGATTCTAGAGTCTTCTCCAAGTATCCACTCAGTCAGTCAGCTACAACGTAGGATCAGGCACATATATGCATCGGTCCAAGTTGCCATACCTCATTAGCACAACAAAATGAACACCGGATTCATAGAACTAGTTAATTCAGTGGTGGTAATATATAAAAAATGATAGCATATAAGGACATAGTACAGGAAGAAAGAATTAGTCCGTAGAAAGAAAGATGTGAAGCGATCTTAATCTCACGGTTTGAGGGAAGACAGAAAGTGTATACACCGACACCATTGTGATCGATTCTGAGCCATGTCACACAAAGTCCCCAACGATTGGTTACGACAGTCACGCGGACCACAACCAAGTAGTCTGCATCTACCAACATGGCTAAGACTAGAAGTTATTGACTTCAAGCACTGATGCCACGTTTTGGTTTGGCAACCCCTAACTTTCTTCCAACCATCCCAACACTATCAGAATTGCGCGTTGTGGTAATCGGTGTTCATGCATACGTAACACGTGGCCCAACCATCTCAGTCGATGAAGATTCACAGCCTCACCAACTGATTTACCATCATTATTTATTTGAACACATAAATATTGGTACAAGATGGTACCAAATATATAGGCGCCACACTTTTGTGTAAGGGCTGTGATACTGCCCGGGTGCCCAGACCGAAGCAGGTGGTTTTCCTAGGGGGCCACACTCCGAACCTTTGACCTAAAGGTTTGATCCACAAGGAAGTGGAGCATCGTGAGGAGATGCACTTCCATGGTAGCCGGTGACCAACGATTGGCTCATACGCCATTTGTTCCCACAGGATATTTGAGCCCATGTGCACCAGTTGTTTGTGATCCGGTTAAAACGCCGGGCATTCGCTTTTCGTTCTCATTTTCGTAGACAACACTCCCGCAGACCAGTTCTGAAGCAACAACTTGCATTTAAAGGGAGAGAAGCGCATTCCAAACATTCTGGCATTGTTGCTTAGTGCTACCAGAGGACTCTGTATTTTATCAGCGTCCTCACCAAACAGGACTATGTCATTTGCATATTCTAAGTCGATAAGTGGACCTCCTGGAAAGAAATCAATACGCGAGAATTCAGTCAACGAGAATGTTATTTCCATCAGTAGGTCTGTAATGAAGTTAAACAAAAATGGGGGGAGTGGACAGCCTTGACGGTTAAAGCCCACCGAGCTTTCCGGATTGGTGACAAGATTTCATTAGACATCAACCTACTACGGCCGTTGGGATTTCCAGGGTAAGTTAAGTGACTGAAACGCCCAACTGCTTCACTCCTTGCTAATAGTCCAAACGTTGACGAAAACCAGTCGTAATCTTGCATTTAGATGGAGAAACGCATCCCAAACATTGTTGCATTGTTGTTTAAGGGGGTCAGCAAACCGACTTTTCTAGGTGTCTTCATCGAAGAGAAATGTGATGTGCATATTCAAAGTCAATAAATGAATTTCATTATATAAGATTGATTTTTGACGAATCGGACGAGTGCTATTTCTAAAGGAATGTTCACGGTGGAGTTAAACAAGAATGAGGAATGTGAAAAACCACGAAAAGGTTACCGATTTCGAAAACAGTTTGCCATAAGCTCTGACTCAACAAGTAACTACAGAATCCAAAATACAGAATAATACCCCATGTCAAAAGTCGGAAATCGGCAGCCAAACCACTACTAATAATCCCAAATTTTACGAGTAGGATATCAAAATGTCGTCTAAGGCTGCAGTTAGTGGAATGGGACTACATCTAGATGGAATTGCGTGGTATTAATAAAATGAAAAACAGCCATGTAATAGATATGTAAATTTAAACGTATATCTCTGTCGAATTGAATACGTGAAAAAATAACAAGATGTTAACTAATTTTTATTGCACTCGAAATATTTACTAGTGTAGTTTCATGCTGCCTTCTTTGGTTGATAGTTTAAGAATACTTATCAGTAACTACACATAATTATTTCAGATGTTGCTGCTGATATCAAGATGGTATTACATTTCGCTGCCAAATTTCAGGTAATTTTTGACAGGAAATACGGGATATGATGCAAGATAACATACCATGCTGCACAAATATTCCTACTCCGTTAAACACT